CCACTGCACTCCAGTCTGGGCGATGGAGTGAGACTCCAACTCAAAAAATAAAATAAAATACAAAATAAGGCTTGGCTGGGCATGGTGACTCAAGCCTGTAATCTCTGCACTTTGGAAGGCTGAGGCAGGAGGATTGAGTCCAGGAATTCAAGATCAGCCTAGGCAACATAGCGAGACCTCACCTCTACCAGAAATAAAAAAAATTAGGCATGGTGATATGTGCCTGTAGCCCCAGCAACTTGAGAGGCTGAGGAGGAAGGGTTGCCAGAGCCCAGGAGGCCAAGGCTGTGGTGAACTGTGATCGAGCCACTGCACTTCCATCTGAGTAACAGTGAAAATCCCTGATTCAAAAAATAAGGCCAGCTGGGCACAGTGGCTAAAGCCTGTAATCCCAGCAGTTTGGGAAATTGAGGTGAGACGAATGCCTGAGCCCACGGGTTTGAGACCAGCTTGGGTGACTTGGTGAGCCCTCATCTCTACAATAAAATTTTAAAATGAGCTGGGTGTGGTGGTGTGCACCTGTTAGGTTCCAGCTACTTGGAAGGCTGAGGCAGATCGCCTGAGCCCAGCAGGTTGATGCTAGGGTGACTGTGAGCGTGTCACTGCACTCCAGGCTGGTTGACGGAGTGAAACTCCAACTCATAAAAAATAAATAAGGTCAGGTTGGGCACAGTGGCTCACATCTGTAATCCCAGCACTTTGGGAGGTGGAGGCAAGAGGATTGCTTGAGCTCACAGATTCGAGACCAGCCTGGGCCACTGCACTCCAGCCTGGGTGACAGAGTGAGATTCCGACCCAAAAAAAAAAAAAAAAAAAAATGCCAAGTGCAGTGGCTCACACCTGTGATCCAGCACTTTAAGAGCTTAGGAGTTCAAGACTAGTCTGGGGCAACAGAAACAAAACTGATACTTTCACCCGGCTCACAGCTCAGAACAAAATAAAGACCCTGGCGTTAGACATTCCCCTCTCTTCTGGCCACACCTGGGAGATTTGCTGCTCTGGTTAGTTTTGGGTGTAGTTGCCCAGGTCTGGCTCTCTAGATAGGGGGCCTCCTCAACTACCTCAAGTGTTCTGAACTTTCCCCACTGTGATCTGGAGGTCCCTGTTGTCGGGACAGAGGCGTTGCCACTCATTCTTCCCACCAGGCAGGTGAAACCTGTGTTAAAGCTCTCCTGGGCCCAGCGCCTGGAATAATGGGAAGTGCTGACAGCTACAGGGGCGGAAATTAAAGGGTGGGGGGCGTGGCTGTGTGCCGCTCCCAGCCCTCCCTCATCCGCCCAGCACCTACCACAGCGTCCCCGCCCACGTATTGAGCACCAACTGTGTGCCGGCGGGGTGCAGAGGAGGGCACGGGGTAAGAGCCATCGGGTAGCTTGCCAGAGCCACACAGCCCGGAGGCGGCAGAAGCGGACCCAAGTCGCGGCCGCCAACACAGGCTCAGGCGTCACCCCCCCGCCCTCGCCGGCGAGGCCTCGAGGGCCGCCTGCCCGTCCTGCTTCGAGTCCCCGACGGGTGGCGGCCCTCCCCTTCCTGCCCGAATGGATAAATGAGAGTCCCAGCATCTCGGACCGGCAGGTGTTCCCAGGAGCAGCTCCCGCGCCCCGCCGGAGAGAAGCTGCCGTTGCCATGGCAACCGGCGGAGGCGTACCCCGCCCACGTGCGCAGTGACGTCATCGCCTTCCCACTCTTCCGAATTAGCTCAGAGCTCCAGACGGCCCTGCCCCCTCCTGCCGGTCGGCCGCTCCCCCGGGCGGGGGTGGGGGGAGCCAGGCCAGCCCCGGGCACGGCCTCCGAACAGGGCCGAGGAGGGAACCAAGTCCGTGCCCGGACCCTGCTGACTTCTTAGGGAATACACCCGTATGCGGTTCTCCCAGCCCCAGCGTGCTGCTCTCTAAATGGGATCAGCCCACACCCTGGGGGAGTCGGGATGGCCGCGGGACCTCAAGCCCGTCCTGTGCGTCTGTCCTAGGATTTCCAGGGCAACCAGGCCGCGAGCCTCTTTGGGGAGGGCAGCGGTGCAAGCTTTTAGGGACACGATCCCCTAGTGGGCAGGGACCCAAGCCTGCCCTCCGCCCGCCCCAGGTTCCAAGCCCCGGGAGTGCCCAGGGGCCCTTGGCTGGACCGCCCCAACACGCCCACGACTCCCCCGCGCCTGAGACCCTCTCTCCCGAGGGGAGTGTCCTCCCAACGGCCGCCAGCGCCTACCTTGATGGTGGTGAACTCCTTCCTCCACGGCAGCAGGTACAGGTGCACGGCGGCCAGTTCCAGCAGCTCGAAGGCGCGGGCCAGGCCGCGCAGCGCGGGCGCCAGGTCGGCGCGGCCCCACAGACCGTCGGTGAGCAGCGCCAGCGCGTCGTCCTGCAGCGCGCCGTGCAGGTCGAAGTCCTCCACCAGGATCTGCCAGAGCACCGCGCGCAGCGAGG